GATATCCAGTGATTATTCATGTACTTGCATTGCCATTTACATCATTTACTTCAGGCTCCATTCACCATGTGAAAAACTCCAGTGTTTGACACCCCCTACCCCCTGGCGCGAAATCGCCAGGTCGGTGTGACAAGAAACCCGCCTGCATAAAGAGTGTCAGGGGGATCTGTATGCAATCCCTTCCCCTTTTGGTGATAGTTATAAGGGTTATACCAGCTATGAAAACCGGGTCATTTTCTGGGGATACCATGGGGATATCATGGGGATACTGCTGACTGGCAACAAAAATGACTGGTTGGATTTGTGGCCGTGCTCGCGTGCTCCGAGACTCGGCCATGGCCATAATGGCAGGAGAAGCGTCATATGCTGATCAACTATGGCACTATGGGATTTGAGGGTGTTCTCCTGAAATTTCAAGTGGTGAGTGATGCCCACTAATATATAGGACAATATAGAACACACACACACATATATATATATATATATCACTATGTATCCCTGTGTAATATGTTTGTCTTATATTACTGTGTAATCCCTTCTCCCAAATATCAACCAACCTTGGAAGTCAGGGTTTGTATTGGATCCATCATAGGGGATGGGATTCGATACCACTATAGCCACTACAACAAAGCTGCAACAAAGGGCGAGATGGAATGATCCCCAAGTTGGGGTGGAAAGCAAAACTGATTAGATCTTACCATCATAACAGGGGTATGTTTATTATTACTGTGTTGTTGACTGCTATTGTGATTGTTAGTGGATGAGGATGATGATGATGATGATGATGCTGGTGCTGGTGCTGGTGGTGGTGATGATGGTGGTGATGATGATGATGGTGGTGCTAATCTGCTAATGATGAGGTGTTTGAAACCCAATGTGCAATCTGAAGAGGATCCCAACCTTTCGCTGCTCAGCTTCAGCTTCCAAGGCGTCGATGTTGTCCTTGTCAGGAATGTCTTTATGGAGCGGTGGGAGTGGGCCAATGACGGGATGGACATGATGATGTTTTCAATTCTCCGGGGAGAAGCATTGCTCAAGATATGGACTATGTTGAGATTGGTCTTCCTTAACGGTGTGAAATATGAGCTGTATCCAATGCATATCTTTATATACATATGTATATATATATATATATATATCTACATATATTCATGCACTAATTGATCTATGTATTTCCATCCTAAGACCGACAACCACGCAGGACTGCGAAGCAGTATCAAGACGTGGCTGCATCTTGGAGAACTCGGGCGCAGTGACCAGTTGTGAGCGCTTATCAGTTTTTAATGTGATACCCTCTGGTAATTTGAAAGTTTGCTATAGGAAATGGCCCATTTATAGTGATTTATAGTTGCTTTACCTATTAAAAATGATGATGTTCCAGTTTGCTATGTAAACGTTTACCAGAGGGTAAACCATATGGAGGTTTCCTGAAATGGGAGTACCCCTGAATCATCCATTTTAATTGGATTTTCCCTATAACCAAAATTTTGGGGATCCCTCATTTATGGAAACCCCCATATGGATTCAGCCTACTAAAATTGAGATTTCTCCCATGAAAACATATGAAATTCCAAAGGCCAACAGTCAGGGATAACAATCATGTAATCCCATCAGCCTAATATTAAACACCCCATAAATGGTCCGAAATCCCCTACTAAACCATGGTTTCTAAAGGGGGTGTTTATTATGAACGGGGAAAGGGATTATATAGGCTTTACGCACCAACATGATCCAAAATGTGGGATCATGCGGGATAATGTGGGATAATGTGGGATATAGTTCATAAACGATAGGTGATGACTTCTTTGTATATGTTTCTTTAATTTGGGGCAGTTGTTGCAGCTACAATGGTCGAATCCCAGCTTTGGGGTAACCAATTGATATGAACTCTGGGATTTGCCTGCTTTATGGGCTTTATTTTGGACCATTTGGGAAGACGATCCCAAAGCACATCATCTGTTGTTGTTATCCGCAGCACATGAACTTGCGGCACTCCGACCTCAGATTTGTTTGAGGGGGTGCCCCTCCAAAGTTGATGGTAAATGCATGGTAAATCAACATATATATATATGTGTGTGTGTGTGTTCCATGACAAAAGCTATTTTGGGTGATGTATTGCATGTTCAGACACACCCAAATCATACTAAGATATACAGAGCGTTGCTTGTATCCCACTTAATCACGATGATATCCCCAGTGTATCTCCAATATTTCCCCAGTATACTCCATTGTTCAGACACATCCAGACAACTGGGATGATGCCCATGTGGCTCAACCAGCCACCAGCTGATTGCTTATATCTCATGACTGTTGTCCCAGCAACAAAAGTATCATTAGTTGCTACCGTTTGATAGGTGACTCCTGTTTTTTTCTCGATGAGATCAAGTTGATAAGAATATATAAGAATTGATTAAAACGTTGAAACAATATCTCGTTCTGATGAGATCTCCTTTGTTTGTTGGTTCATTCCCATCTGACTCGTTGTGTATCATGGGGATACCCGATAGAAATTCAACGGCTGATCATCAGTTATTCCCATAAGATTCCATGTTATTTCCATCAGTTATGGCGATTTTTTGGCCCGCAACCCACCTATGGTGGAGCCTCGTGAGGTATGGGCACCGCATGGCACAAGACTTCTTTGTTTCGTCGCTCATTTTGCTCGTCCTTTCCATAGGCAGGGTATCACAAGGCTTCGGCACTAGGATTCTAGCAGCTTTGCGGTTTCAATGTGCTTCTTTTTCCATCTTTGACCGTTGACCAATGTTTTTCAGGAGGTTGAGTAGGCTCATGAATAGTTGTGCCAAAGACATTTTCACGAATATGTTGTGCACAACTCACAACTCAAATTCACAGGAAAACTTGACAAAAGCTCGCCGGCTAGCCACTTAGCCATCCCACTTTGCCTTGTTCAACAGCGGCCTGGAGGAACCGCTTTCGATGGTCTGCGCAAAGCCTGCTGCGGCTGTGAAGGCCACATTCGACGTGGCATGGTATGTATCGGATAGAAGCACCAAAATGGATGTCTTTGCATGCACAGTACATACACATGTGTATATATATATATATACATATATATATTTACATACGTATAATATATACATACATGCATAGTAAAATATTGCAAAATATGTATTTCAAAATATGTCTTCCAAACCAGCAAAATGTGTTATGACAGAACAACATGATATATGATATACCTGTAAGTCCCTGAATGCATCCGAAGTAATTTCTTGCAAAATTGCCAGCGCCACGATGTTCCACGGACAGATTGCGGACTTCACAATATCTTGATCTACCGCGACCCTGGCGGCGCTCACAAGAGACAGGCGCCATGGATGGTTTTTTTCGCTAGGCGAATCAGTGCTGAATTGGTAATCGGTATGCGACTATAGGATCACCCTTAAATATTCGACGCTACCATGACGTCCTCTATTTTTTCTATTGAAGGTCCTATATAAGTGATACAAATGGGTGTTTGTGTCAAAATCCTTGAACGAAATGGTGGTTTTCCAGCAAGCCATGTTTCATTCCCAGAGAAATCAGCATAAATCAAACCAGGAGAATTCTTGAATACCCATCCTTTACCAGACGTGAGAGTCGCTGCTTTACCTGTCCCCTTTGCTTCACATCCAGGAGAATCGCGTCTCTCAATCGCTGGAAGGCTTGATGAGAGGCTTTGCGGAGTCGATGTCCCATTATGGCTTTGCGATCCGAAAAGAACTGGATGGTTCATGAATATTATACATATTTTCTATATCATACATATTAGATGTTAGTGATATACAGTTTATGATCTTTTCATATGTTCTTCCTGGTGTATCCTGATGTCAGATTTCTCCAGAAAAATTCTCCACAGTTCCTTGGCAGGCCCTGTCATCCCAGAGCCTACGACGCCCCAGGCAGATGGAGAATTGGAGCATTTTACCATTCGATCTGGGGGTTACTATAGTTACACACACATTATATACATATATACATATATATATATATCTCTAGTTAACTATATATAGTGTATATATATATATGGTAGCCCCCCACAAAGATCTACCTTTTTGAGGTTCATAGTGGGGGTTGCCATATATTAGCATTTGTTAGTCCAACCTTTATACAGGACCATATTGTGGGTGTCACACATGTTCAATATGCTAGTGTGGCAATATCCCAGTACGGAGGCTTAATCCCCAAAAAATGTTAAATTCTACCATCTGACTCTGGCATCAGCAGGTACCAGGAGGTACTAGGAGGTGCTAGTACCTGACCTAATCCAAGATCCAAGATTCCACAGGAGTCCTGAGAGAATCTTGGTCAGATATTATGGCCAGGTAATGATAGCAGCAAATCCAAGATTCTCTGGATTAGGTAATGTACTAGCACCTCCTAGTACCTCCTAGTACCCCCTAGTACCCCTAGTACCGACACCTCTCCGCAAAATCTGCTAGAATTACACTACTCTAACGCGCTCCAAATGCCAAGGCCGGAGTGGGCGGCTTTGACGTATTATTCCAGACTGATGTGTGGCCCTGAGTGTAACAATCTGAACTGATTTATCACCCTGAGTGTAACAACCTGCTGTAAAATGTTACTGACAATTCTAGATTGCCAATATCCTTGCTCGTCTGCTTGAATTCCAATACTCCAACATGGTCACAGTGCCAAGGCTGAATCCGGCGATGTCGACATGCTTGCCTAGCACAGGGCGAGGGTCATAGGGTATATGCAATTCCAGACTGCCATTAGTACAGTTTCCACAACAAAGTATGATTGACAGCTTGCACATGTCAATATCCTTGGCCCATTTCAGTTGCCAATCGCTCGCCTCAAGATACAGCAGCTCATCTGTTCTGCATCGACTTCTTCAATCAAGGTCTTAGTTGCTCAATGGCTTTTTCCTCCGTGGCGGGAAAAGTCGAACTAAACGGCCGCAGTGCTACTTTGACATTGCAGCCCTTCAGGAGGAACCCGAGCTGAAAATTTACCAGCGAAAGTCCGATTTCTTGATGGAGGACATCGAAGCGGGCCAGGTCCAAATCCATCCGAGCCGCCAACCAATTTACAAGAAAAAGCTCAGCAATGCAATGAACAACGTGCAGCGCATGCTACTTCTCAAAGGAGGAGCAGAAGGAGAATGGAATCCCCGTGCACAGATGCGATTGGAATCTCTCCTAGCCAACCCAAGCCTATTGTGGTCAAGAACATGAAACTGCCTATTGGCGACCAACAGCCAGATGCTAAAGACGTACCATTGGCCCTGGAAGATGGCAATCCAAACTCATCGTCGGATTCCTCCTCAGATTCCGATTCATCTTCCAGCTCGTCTGAAGAAGATGCCCCTATGGAGAATTCCTCTGACTCATCCGACAAGGACAAGCAGCAAAGCTGCAAGAAGAAGTTGAGTCAAGCTTCATTGCTTTGCATGCGACTCAGAAAGGTTTGTTCAGTACCCAGAAGGAATTGTCGGACGCCAAGGCAGTGATTGCGGAGCAGCGCGGTGAGATCTCGAACCTGAAGCGCGCAATCCAGACTTTGGAGAACCAGATCCTCTCTGATGCCGACATGACTTCGGACTGAGGCTAAGACTGGGACTGAAGCGAAGGATGCCTAGGTTTTGGTAGACACTAGAGGCTACATGTGCGCATGATGTACAAAAAATGTTGCACCTTGTTTACTCTTCATGTCTGGCAACATCTCTGCACTTTGTATTTCTGTAGCTGCTTCTGCCTGCTTCAGTACATATGGTTCAGCTGCCCTGCCCGTGTGCTGCACATACGTTCCAGTTCTCATGGCGCATATATATCCTGGACGCCGCGATGGCCAAGTATTAAAGCCTCAACCTTACAGACCCTGGATTCTCCGACGTGCATTGCCAAGAGTGAGGACATGATCGAGGAGCCAATCTCTTTGAGCACGATCCATATCTTGACCAAGATCAACCACAAAGCATTGGAGCGCATGTGGAAGATCTTGGCCTTTCTTCGGAAGCACTTTGTGGAAGCAAAGGAGAAGGAGATCCAGTTCGGCAAGGGTGGCCGTTGGCAAGACATTGGAGCTGACGAGGCCACATTTGACAAGATGAATCGTTCTCTTGCTCATTGGGGAACAATGGGCGGGCATTGTTACCCGCAGTTGCCCGGAGTCCTTGGTCTTGATCCGCTTGAAGCCACCTCCTACCACGTGCCGGGCACCAGGTCCAGGTGCTATTCGCAGTCGATTGGAAACCAATTGCTAAGAAATGGCTCAAAGATCGAAAGGTGATCCTCCATGCAGATAGCGCACGTTCTTACAAGGCCAAAGTGCCAGGCGTTCTGCACGACATTGTAGTTCATCAGAAGAAACGTGTCAAGGTCAAAGGCAAATACGTCTGGCAATCGCCTATTTGTGTGAAATTTACTACCCACGAACTTCCGTGTGGAAAAAAAATTGCATCAAGGCAGGAACCCAGATCATTGATCAGGCTTGGAAGTTCATCAAGGAACGCCTGCGTTTGAACCAATTCACCAAGGTGGGAAGCTCCTTCGCTTCGTGTTCACATTCGTTCTGCACACTATGAGTACTGGCATCGCAACCGAGATCTGTGGGCATGCGCTGGGCAGCTATTGTCTGAGCATATGAAGGACATAGTTTTTTAGGTTCAATCTGCAACCTGCTACAACTGGGAGATAAAATAATGCAGCCCATTGCTTTGCAGCATCTGCAGCATCTGCACAAAACACTTGTCAACTGAACTATCTTCAATTTGGCCTTCAACAAGCAAAAACGGTAGATCTTAGGGGGGTAGCGCATATATATAATATATATATATATATATATTTATTTAATTTTACACACACACATATATATATATACACACATTGTTTGGGACAAGTATAGTATGATTATATATGTAAATCTGTTCGTAGGAGTTTCACTGTTCGATCTGTTTATTGGGGGGTGCTATATTGAATAATTTGAATATGGGTGGAAGGGATTGTGTGACAGTCTTCCCAGCCATTGATACATCCATGCTAATCCATTATTTAGGGAATTTGCTGGGAATATCTTCGAATGTTGGATTTGTGGCCCCATTAAGCAAATCCAAGTTTACAACAGAAGGAACTCGGGTGGGACAGTGTCGAAATCGGATGCAAAGTTGAAAGACGAGACTGAACTCGGGCACAGGATAGTCACAACTCCACTGGCAATTTCATGCAATATCCGAATGTATTGCCATTTATCTATTAGATGTCGTAAAGAATACATATTACACCTTACATATTTTTATATCATTATCGCAGTCGCACCATCCCCCAGTCATCACCATTCCAATAGGTGGTATTTTTACCATTCCCAGTCATGGGTGGTTTATGGAGCTCCTGCAGGGTTCCCAGGGTCCGTTTTTGCTGGGTGAGGATTGAAGGGGAACATGCGTAGGAAAGCATGGGGAAATCAATGGAATCATGAGTTGTTCAAATGTTTTTCGCAATAGATATGGGGAAATCTATGAAAATATTGGGAAAACATCTCATCATGTGTTTTTTCAGCTGGAGATGTTTAGGAATGTCCAGCACGATCTTCCTCCAATTCTGATTGTGATGTTTTTTTGTCAGGTTTGTGTTGGGGGCGTGTTATTTCTCCCTGGCATGTGGTAAACCCCCCAAAAAAATTATCTAAAACTGCCAGTTGTTGTTCGGATGAACCACGAAACCAAGACTGACATAGACCATTTTCAAACCCACGAGAACTATGGATCTATGGGTTGTCTAGACCCTTCTGTATGTCTGCCCCTACCACATGGTAAGCCTACTATCTCTTTCAGCATTGGGGATGGCTGCTCACCTGGGCAAGTGGATGTTTTTGTTTTTTTCCTTCATTGGTGTTTTTAAAAAACAATGGAAAATATCATGTTCAGAGAAGTTCAGACACATCCATATATCATCATACATCATTTTCGGTTGATATCTTAATTATACTATTTATATATATATATATATCATATATATATATCATATATATATATATATATATCATATATATATATCCCCCATGATCTCCCAATTTTGTGCTATTGTTGTCCATGGTTTGGCAATCAGCACATGTTCTCGACGAGGCGCCAGCTGCGCCAGCCGCGCCAGCCGTGTTGGAGATGAGACACCAGGCAAGGGAGAGCCGAAGCGCCGTTTGAGCTTTGATGTGGGGAAAGAAACGGGGAGGTTTTGTTTTATGAAGACATGGTGAATACATGATGAAGACATGGCGAAGATATAGTGAATATAAATATAAAAATATATTTGTAAATATATGGTGAAGATACAGTGGTTTCAATATTGGTGAATATATATATATATATATATGGGGATTGGAATGGATTTAGCCAAAAAAAACTTAGGAAACTAAAGGACCGGATAACCCCACAAGTCAACTTCTTCCAATAATGATAATGAGCAACAAATGTTGTAGCGGGGACGGGGAAGGAAGGAAAGGTGGAGGAAAGATGGTGTGTGACAAAGTGGTGTGTGAAAGATGGTCTGTGACGGTGTGTGAAAGATGGTGTGTGACAAAGTGGTGTGAAAGATGGTGTGTCAAAGATGGTGTGTGCCATAAGTGCCACGCCTGCCACGCAAAGTGACGGTCGATGTCTCCAAGTGCCACGCCTGCCACGCAAAGTGAAGCTGGGATGTCGCCAAGCGCCACGCCTGCCACGCAAAGAGCCGCGGCGTAAGTTGTGTGTGAGTAAGTTGTGTGGGATCAAGTTGTGTGTGAGCCAGTTGTGTGTGGACAAATTGTGTGTGGACAAATTGTGTGTGAGCAAGTTGTGTGTGTGTGTACAAGTTGTGTGAGCAAGTTGTCTGTGGAGAAGCTGTGTGTGAGCGAGTTGTGTGTGGACAAGTTGTGTGTGTGTACAAGTTGTGTGTGAGCAAGTTGTGTGTGGGCAAGTTGTGTATGAGCAAGTTGTGTGTGAGCAAGTTGTGTGGTACAAGTTGTGTGTGAGTAAGTTGTGTGGGATCAAGTTGTGTGTGAGCCAGTTGTGTGTGGACAAGTTGTGTGTGGACAAATTGTGTGTGAGCAAGTTGTGTGTGTGTACAAGTTGTGTGAGCAAGTTGTCTGTGGAGAAGTTGTGTGTGAGCAAGTTGTGTGTGGACAAGTTGTGTGTGTGTGTGCAAGTTGTGTGTGAGCAAGTTGTGTGTGGGCAAGTTGTGTATGAGCAAGTTGTGTGTGAGCAAGTTGTGTGGTACAAGTTATGTGTGAGTAAGTTGTGTGTGAGCAAGTTGTGTGTGGACAAGTTGTGTGTGGACAAGTTGTGTGTGGACAAGTTGTGTATGAGCAAGTTGTGTGTGAGCAAGTTGTGTGTGAGCAAGTTGTGTGTGGACAAGTTGCAGGCGGACGGCAGGAGGAGGAGGCGGGAGGAGGCGGGAGGAGGAGGAGGAGGAGGGAGGACGGAAGGAGAAGGCGGGAGTGGACAACCAAAAACAAGAACCCCACACAAAGATGTGGGGAAAAATACAGGGATACAATGGGGGTATGCTTGCCATACCAACTTGTAAAGGGTGTATCTGAAAATGATGAATACGTGTATATCATGAAAAAATGGCAACGTCAAGATAAGATGAAATGTTGAACTATTAAACCAGCAGATTATCGCGGGTTTCCCTCAAAATCTTCAGACGCACCCATATGATACCCCCAAACCAGATCACGCAAAACAACGGTTACATTTTTTACAGGGATGAGGGCCATCTCCATATCTTGAACACTTAAAATGATCAAAAAATTCCGAATATTCAAAGAAGCTCACCAGATGACCAGATATTTTGGAAGCTAGGACTTTCCATGTCATGAATATATGGTGAATATGAATGGGGACTGATTTGGATGGATTCGGGGGCTTCGATAAATGGGGGTACCCCAAAATGGATGGTTTATAATGGAAAATCCTATTGAAATTGATGATTCAGGGGCGCCCACATTTTAGGAAACTTCTATTTAGCCAACTCATATATCCGTTCCATATCATTCCATATTTTTGTTGCCTTTCTCCATCCTTAGAAGCATGCACGGCCGCTCACAGCAGCGTACTCTGGCACAAGAGATTTCCTGGGACCCAGGGAGTTTAAACCACCCATGTTTGGGAACGGTAACAAAACCACATATTGGAATGGTGATGACTGGGGGATGGTGCAAATGGCATTCTTTTACCCACATTCTTAGAATTTTTGTTGGTTTATGGAGATGAGGAGATTTATAGGGGCTGCGGCTGCATGCGGGGAAATGTGTGTGGATTAATGGAGATTTGATATGAATATAAATATGGATAAAAATATGTGACCATGGTCAAAAGATGCATTACGTTCCCAGATTAGGAGATGGTCATCAATCCATTGTTGGGACGGCACGACCTCTTTGCGACGCCACTCGAGATGGGATGGGGGTTTCCCCATCCCCATTGGGGGCCGAAAATTTCAGGCCAAAGAATCCTCCAAAAAATTTTCAGGGTGAGGGTACGTTGGAATATTGCGAACCTACTTTTAGAGCTTACTTTTAGACCCTCCGGAGCCCCAGAACATTGGAAAATACATTGTTTCGCGACTTTTCTA